AAAAAAAAACTAATTAAGACGAATAATTTGCGAACTTTTCTATATGCCTCTCTAAAATTAGGCTCTGTATGTTTGCCCTAAAAATGTATGTGTAAAAAGTTGAATTTTTGTTTCAATAGATCGAAGGATGTCCTCGTCGCACACTATTGCTTTACAGCGTGCGACAAGGACAGACACACACGCGCGGTAAACAAGGAGGGCAGCAGTGTTAGACAAGGACAACAACAGATTTTAGTTCTACCTTTCTACCGCTACGTGGCGCTAGCATTTTAGTGTCCATAAACAGCGCTAATTTGAGTTTGAAAAAAAAAACAAATTAAAAGGATTTATTGGTGAAGTTTTTTAATTATTCCCTTGGAATTAGAGACTAAACTATTTATCCGCACTGCATAGAACTTGTAAAATGTTTATATAAATATTTAAAAATTCTACCAAACTGATCGATACTCTTATTTAAGTATTATTTAATTTCTTGCGATATACATACTTGCATTATCTTCAAGGTTCTGCAAATACATCGTTAAAGTCTTGTTGATCGTACTAAATAATTACAATCACCCGAAATAAAACCATCAGTAAATAATACTAGTTCTCTCCTTCTGATGAATATGTACGAACAAGTGTGTATTAATTAAAAAAGACTATATTAGCAATATAACAATCAAAATAATTTCAATATAAATATGTATATTGCCAATATTAATTATTAAAGAGATGTACGTGTTGTGGTAAATAAATGAAAATAACGCTCTATTAAATTTCTACGCCTTGTAATCCTTTACAAAGGCACCCCCGTGAACGATTTCCTCGTAGAGATGCAACGTAGAAAATTCATAGCGAGTGCAGATTAATCAGATATTCATTCATGGGCTGTGCGCAAAGAGGATCCGGATGATTATTATGAAAGTAATAAAGCCCCGGCGCGTCCGCGAGCGGAATAAGCCGAATTTCTGGATTTCATTTCGTTTCGTCTCATCCACTGGCAAATAGAATGATTGGGCCTGCACGAACAGCGAATACAAATCAGAATACGTTTCGATCATTTGCGGACTAGGTGCACGTCTATCTGTTTACATGCATAATACGATACCGTTGCTTATAGAATACAAATATGCGCATTTATTTGCGAGCATTTGGAACTCGGACTTTGCACTTTGGGGAAAACTTTGATAATACATTCTGGGAGAAGTATTAGAACACTGGGAGCTAGATATTTCTTATATGTACATATTACATTATCTCTGTCGAGATGAAGCCTTAAAAATGTTCTTTTTTAATTTCAAGGTAATTGTTATAGACATCGAAACTCTTTTACAAGTACGAAAAAACGAAAACAGTCAAATTCAAAAATATTTTTTATATACTAATACTGAACAATAGTAAAATATATTGAAGGAAGAAAATAATTTTTTCATAAAATCGTGTACTCTCGCATCTCCAAATTTCCAACGAACGCGTAACAATGCACGGTCCAAGACTTGCAAGCTTGTGCAGCGAGTCCTCTAAATCACAATCGTCGCCTGGCACTTGCAATCGTGCTAAGCTCTGTTATCGACGCTCGTAAAGAACGGGAAATCAGCGATAAAGCGTACGCACATTCTGAATTCGGGTTGGCTCGGGGTCGCGCGTGCGGCGAAACGCGCCCACGCGTCTTCTTCTCTCAGTGGAACGGGCAAGGCGCGCGCCAGCCTGCGCGATGATCGCTGATTTATGTCGTATTGTCCTCTTAAACTCCTCAGTTGTATATATATAAACGCGTCACTTCTAGCCGCGACAATGCACCACGGTCCACGACTGATCCTGATTTCTTTTCACTCGGGGCCGACCACTCGCTCGTGTGTATTTCGTTGCAGCGACAATAAGCGCGCTGGCCGTGCGACGAGCGGACGTTCCCCGACACACCGTGGAGAATCGCAATCGCGTCTGCAGGTCCCGGTGGGTTGCAGGCGGAGAACACGGTCAGAGACTGGTGCAACTTGCAACGTGGGTATACGAAGGAACCAAAAAGTGCATAATCTATAAAATGCATACTTATTCTTTTGGTTTTACAATAAATGGAAGCAAAGTGTCCGGAGAGTTCAATCTCACCTGTTCAAAAAAGTATGATCATGCACCAAAATCGACAGGATTGTGCTTCAAGCCGTTGGGTGGTCAAAGGGAGAGCGAGAGAGACGAAGTTGACATAACAAACGCGGCCGTTCCAACGAGATTGTTTAACGATCTGATCGTTGATCGTAAAACTCGCGATCTCTGATTAGCCGAGGTGCACGTCACGATGGGTAAAAACGTGGCCAGAGAATGGCCAAGTAAATTTCTGGTTCTGCCTTAACGATAACGACGGGGGCGTGTTTACGGTAGGCAATGTCCCCCGGTTTTATGTGTCGGTAGTAGTTTAAGCACCTGATGCGGCCGATGCGGTTCTTAATCAAAGTGTCTCATCGCCTGGAGTCTCATCCCTCCACGCTGCCCAATCTACGCAAAAATCCACGGATATTAGCGCCGAGCGTCTTGCTCCCTTTATGATTGCGGCCTTTTCCTGCAAGCAGCCGGCTTCAGATTATAAATCAAGCAATCAACCGCTATAAAAGTCCGCCCACGTGGTGGCCATCGCCAGCAACATTTTTCTTGCTTCTTTTCCCTTTTGGGGGGATGATGAAGGGTGGAGGCATCCTCGAGTGGAGGAATTTTTCTGCATTATCCTGGGAAATATAAGTACGAATTTTAGATTGACAATGAAACTTGGGATAACATAAATATGTTATGGTTATATGCGATGGTTAATTTTGAATGATGATCAAGTACATGAAAATTTATCTGGCGTGTGTTCGAACAATTTTCAGTGTTACGGGCCATCGAGCGAGGATCGAGATACTTTCGAGACTGAAGCAGAATTTTTAATCGTAGTTCGAATCTCGCGTTCTATTCTAAGTTGGATTAACACGGTTGGTGACGCGTTCGGCACACCACACACAGTTGACCGAGCTAAGCAGAGACGCGCGAACCGCGATAAATCGCTTAATCGCGAGGATCGCCTGTATCCAAAGTCCGAATCGGGTTAGTCGGATATCTATCATTTTTCGAGAGGCGTGGCGAAGCGTTCGTTTAAGGTCAGAATCTATCGATCGCAGCGGAGCCGCGGCGAGACCGTGGACCACCGCTGAGAACGCTGGCGAACAATCTGCCAGTCACCCTTCGGTGATCTTAGCACATTCGTCAACTTCATAACCCTGTTGCTGCACCGAACAGACCGGAGACACGACCTGAGACGAGGGTATCGCACGCATTCACACGCCGACTATGCACTTTATCAGTCTATCAGCTCGGATTTCTAACCATCGTCGTTACA